AAAAAAAAAAAAAAAAAAAAATAAAAAGAGTTAGAGATTGTTGGTTACAGTGACCAGCAGCTGTCTGGAAGGTACCCCAGCCCTACCCTCCACTGGACCAAGACAATGGAAAATGATATAAACATAAAAACCACAGCTTGATTTCCCATGTGCCCAGTGAATCAGCTCGTCCACCCACTGAACATGTTATTCCATAATTGTAAGGATATTATCCATTTTTCAACCCAAAGAGCATTGTGACTGGCAGGCTTGCCAGGGTGAGAGGCACCATCCCCAGTTAGATGCACCATGGCCAGTTCCTTAGGCAATTGGGCCTTGCTCCTAGAGAAGGCTCTAGAATGTGCATAGAAGCAGAACTCCAAGTCAGGCACTTACTGGGCTCATTCAAGAGCTGAGGTCCCCCAACTCTACAAGGCTTTCAATTCCAAGGACCCAGGCTGGAAATGACTAGCAAGAGTTCTAACCACAGGAAGCTTCTATCTTGCAGGGGATGGCAGAAGCTCAAGGCCAGAGCAGCAGATCTGTCTCCATGTGGTTTTGGGAGTAGCCACGGTGATACTGGTTCTGGGAGAAGGTTGTGGCAAGAGGGTTCCTGGCAAGGCCTCCAAAACTCTTGTCCTTGCCTTTGCTTTGCACCCTCTGAAGTCCAGCAATGTGAAATTACAAAGGCTGCCCCACACTTTATACACTGTGAGATAGACCAAGGGTGCGTAGCAGCTAGAGTGAGAATGTGCGCTCATGTCTTGGTGAAATTGCATCTGCCTGCCCGTGTGTGCCAGAGAAGCAGATATAGTCATGTAATGAATGTCCCTGAGGGGACGTGAGAAGTCCCTAGCCCACTAGACTGAAGTCTGCTGCTTCAAGCATGCCTACTGGCTCACACATCCTGTCATTCTTCACTCTGCCTGGAGAAAAATGGCTGTCCTCTTGCAGCTCTTACAAGTTAGAAACCTCATTCCACTAAAAAAAATGAGACTTTCCACTAATTAATGTTAAGTGCCATTGCTCTCGCCATGTATGATTGCCCTCTCTTGAGACCAAGTGAGAAATTTTCTTCCACCCCTTCTGCTAATCAGCACTGAATGTTGAGATATCGAGGAACCGAATAGTGTCACTGAATTCTCTTTATACAGCTAGCAATAGTGAGGATCGAAGGCCTTCCTTAGCTGTCTTCTGCCCTAAAGGTCTGGGAAATTTCTCTGTTCATATTCACTTTGTTTGCCAGGAAATACAGCCTTGGAAATATCCACATCTCCGTAAGCCCCCTCTTACCCTGTTTCCCTCCCATGGGGTTTGCCGGCTGCTGTTACCACCACCAGTCACAGAGCTCACTGCTTCCCAGCCCTGCCTCAGGCCTCCCGGCCTCCCTTTGAACATATCTAGGCCAGGCTTCTCACTCCCACATCAAAGGGACAGGGAGGAGAGCATGGGCAGATGTCCTTGAAGAAAGATATAAAGGCCGTTGTGGCCAAGGAGAACAGCCCACACAGGTTGGTGGAGTCGGAGCTGTGGGCCCAGCAAGCACAGTAAAGAATTCAGGTCCCTCCATCTACAGAGAGAATTAACTGTGCTTATTGAAAATGGCAATACTTGCAAGTGCTGTTGAGTGCACCTAATACGGCAGACATCATGCGAAGAGCTTTATTTCCATAAATTAGCTTCATGAAACTTGAAGAAGCGGTATTACCACCTTATTTCACAGATAAGGAAATGGAGGTGCAGAAAGAGTAAGAAACTTATTCAAGGTCGCAGGGTTATAAATACTAAGGTCAAGGTCTGAAGGAAGCCATTCTGCAGCATAGTCTAGATTTTTACCCAGTACTAGCTGCAGCTTAGATTAGGAGCCAGTAATGATCTTGATTGCAATGTTAGTAGTTAATTCTCACAGGGACCCTATGGATTAGAGAATGTATCATTTATTTCCCCTTGCAAACAAGGAAGCTAAAGCTCTGAGAATTTAAGCCCAAAGTGGTAGAATAGTAGGGAATCCAGACACAGCTCTTGCCATCATTCAGTGTGCATGGCTGACCTGCCAGGAGAGAAGACCAGATTCTGCATTCAGCTCCCCTGGACTCAGCCTGTGCCTCCTCCATCTCCCTGCACAAGATTTTCATCATGGAGCTATGCATACCACGCATGCTCCAGATTGACCAGCAATGGCTTAGGAACTGTTACACCTTAACAGTGTCCTGGTAGTGACAGCAGAAACTGCATCATGGTGGCCACATTTAAGTTTTCAGTGATATTTTTGCTCTAAATCACAAATAAAGTCTCTTACACAGATATCAGCAAAGAGTTTCTTGAACATGTTGGAAGTGGTAATCACATCAGGGCCCACGCCCAGCTTAATTTGTGGGGCTGGTACTTTCCAGAGAAATCATAGCCTAGCAAGGACCATGTGTGACGCTGCATAAGTGGCTCTCTCTTGGAGCGTCAGTCTTCCTATGTGCAAGATTAAGATTGTCTCAACACACCCTAAACTGAATAATGGTAAGAAGTGAGGCCAGGAGACAAGAGTAGAGGTGGTACTCATTCCCCTAGTGACCCTCCTTTCTTGACCCTCTTTCCTTTCTCTAGATCCTACTTTTTTATTTCATTCCATCATAAAAAGACCTGGTCAAAATACTATCATGGCTTTGAGCACGCTGAGAGCCTGTGCTTCCTCCTTAGAGTATAGCTTCGAGAAGCAGAAGTCTGATCCCTCTATTTCTGTTCCCAGGATGGAAAGGACATTTTTATCCCTCCCCATGCCTAGTCTTCCAGTGCATCTAGAGACAAAGTATGCAAAAGGCAACCTTTGAAAGCTACTCTGTATTTTTAGAATTTTGTGTTTTCTCTTTAGTCATAATCGGATGAGTGATATAGCAGCTTATCTCTCTGACAAGGGACAGTGCATATATAAAAAGATAAAATATGTACTACCACACAGCCTAGGGAGAAAGTGCCTCTTCTCCCCTGAAGTCTTCCCATTAGCGATTCTGAAGGTTGACCCCATGACAGGCATTTGTATTACTCTCGTCCTGTTCCATATAGTAAGTTTCCAAAGCCAAGGGGTAACTAAAAATTGTAGATTGCCGACACTGTCTGTACTTCACTGACCATGTAATTTAACAAATGACTTCTAAAAATGTACTCATGGTGCATGCTCCATGTGAACTTTGTGGAGGGTTTTAGAATTGGTTTTATAATTATTTCAAAAATGTACTTCAGTGTCTTCATTGAAATTTTAACCAGTTTCCCAAAGTGTCCAAATGCCCTCATAGGTTAGTGATTAAACTGCCAGATCAGCCGTGGAGGGGAAAAGGGCAATCCTTTGTCACGAAAGTGGACCTGAGGAGAATGGTCAAAGAAGGTTCAGGAATCACAGGAACCACTGGCAGGAAGATGCCAATCTGAGGGTCTAGGCAGAGTATCAGAAAAGACATCTGAAGTAAAGGCTAGGCCAGTCAGGAAAGCCTGCAGTTGCCTATTACATCGCAGGAACAACCAAGGCCATTGGCCTAGCACAACAAAGTTAGTTTTGCATTCACATTACATAACTGCTGTGGGTTGATGCAGGACTGCTCCACACAGTCATTGAGAAACACAAGACAAGGGTTTCTTTGCCAACCATAGCTATATCATCAGAACAGAACATGCACTCCAGTTTCTGTAGCTGGGGAAGAGATGATCAAGGACGTGGGCTTTCCATCGCCTTGGCCTAGGACAAAAGCATTTCCTCTTACACTTCATTGGTCAGAACCAGTCATATGACCCCTACTTCCCTGCAAAGGTTTCTGGAAGATATAGTTTTTCATGCTGCTGGGAAAAGTAAAAAGGGAGATATTAGTGAATACAAGTAGTGTCTAATAAAAGGGTCTATATGGCTACAAGGAAAAAGAGCAGATGTGATAGGGAGGATGAACAGGAGCCTGCAGAGATTTCTGGAAGGGCTGATCACAACTCTACCCTTAGGATAAAAGAGAGATGTTGGGGTGTCATTATAGTTGGACAAAGTTCTTAGTAATGTTAAGGGACCTGGAAAATGTTAGCTTTAAAGGCCCTTCCAATTCTATTGCTTTAACATTCTATGCACTGTATAACTTTATCTTCATCTAGCTGTCAAACCCTAAAATCAATTTCCTCAATCAAAGCATGTGAGCATTAACTGGAAATCTCTCATTATCATTGTCACTGAGGGAATCTAAAGAATTGATCACTCACAGATCTAAACTCCATCCTTTGTTTGAGCCAAGCCAGTGAGCATGTGCCCTTCCCCTAAATTTGCCACTTGCAGGACTGAAAGGGTAGGGATTAGAGAGGGTCTTGTACATTTTTAAGGTTCCAAACTATCCTTCTAGCTTCTCTTTCTCAGTTGATTTTAAATGCACAAAATTTTCCACATCTTTTCTTATCTGCTTCTAACTCCTGAACAAGAAGATACTATCATCTCATCTAGTTGCATTATTCTCAGCATCTCTATCAGAAAAGAAGTTTTTCTTTATTTAATTGAGTTTAAGTTTCATTGCCATAAAGTGGGGATAATCAAACCCACCTCACAGAATTGTTGTGAGAATGAATGAGATGGTAGAGAGAGAGACTTTGGGGAGTAAGAGTTCAGAACTGTTTAGACTCAGATAAATTTCTTGAGATAAGACTGTTTTTGCTATTTATTCCAAGCTTAGCCACTAAGTAGATGCAGATGCTGTGGAAGAGATGCTGATACACATAAAGCACTTGGCATTTTTCCTGGCACACAAAAGCTCTCTGTAATGTCAAGATCAACACAATTGTTGCTGTTACAGTCACTGTTACCTGTTGTGCCTTCTGATGCCATTTTCCAACACTGCTATGATGGCTGTTTATTTATTCTTTATTTTAGGGACCAAAATTCTGCTCATAGCTTTGTCTATCCAGGGATGCTTTTTACCAGAACATAAAAGTATATTTTAGTTTCTAGTCTTGGGACACTGCCTTTCTGATCTTCTTCTTGTTAGCACTGTTCTTTTCTCTTTTTGCAATAGCTTCTGGGACTGGCACCATGGGTGGCTTATCCTGCTTCTTTATTGACATCTAAGATTTCAGTGATGTTACTTTTGTTTTCTTTTATGAATTGCAGTTCCGGTGGCAGATATCAAAGCTGTGGTGACGGGAAAGGACTGCCCTCATATGAAAGAGAAAGGTGCCCTTAAACAAAACAAGGTATGGTTTCCAAATTATTGCAAACAGCTCTGACTGCACCATGCAGCCAGTAAGTATGATGGGCTAAGCCTTTCTTTATAGCAATGTGTATGGGTGTGTGTGTGTGTATTATATTGAGTCATATGTCTTTGATCTCTTTTCTTCCTGATTCATGTTGTGTCTCTTGCCCTTATTCTTCTGTCCCTGACTGTTTTGTAATGCCCACTGTCTCCTCCGTTCTCTCATTTCCTGCCTGCAATCAGCACTAGGAATTGCCCTGGCTGTCCTTACCCTGTCCTCCCCAGCTTCCTCCCTTATCCCTATCCATTCTGTCTTCACCTTTTGTTTATGCTTACATCTCCCTTCCCAAATTTTATCCATAGCAGCCTCTCTGGAGTGTCACTGAGATAGCTGAGACCAGCTGCTTGAATCTTAGAAAACTTCAAGGACCTTCAGTGTTATGGAAAGTAGTCTGTGAAATATTTCAGACCCAGCTTAGAGGGGAGAACTCACCCAGCCGTGTCTTAAACCCCCTTCATTTTGCAACAGTTCTCACTGTCCTCTCCAAGTTTGCCACCAGCTGTCACCATCACAGCTCAAGATTCAGCACAGAGTACAAGAAGAAGCATTTTGTGGAAAGACAGAAAAATTTCCTTTGCCCTAGGATGAAGATATTTGCCCACAAAGGGGCTTTTAGGGAGCTAGTTCTTTGTTTATATTTCTTGGTATTTTGTGATGTGTAACAGTCATAAACAGAAGTGTCCACATTTATCTAGGTTGTCCAAACATCGTGATCCTAAAATATCACTCGATCAATAGGTTGTTTCTTTATATCCAGCATCAGTATCTAAGAGGAAAACCAAAATGATGTTCATCCTATTTATCAACCAGTTAAAATAAACAATCCCTGCTCTATGATTTCCGACAGTGTAAGACAGAGAATAATCCAGGTCTTTGACAGATAACCTTTGCTATACATCAGGAAAAACAAGCTGCCAGATCTTTGCTTCTGAAGTTAGATCAGTATAACTCATCTCAAAGCCACATGCATTCCTTCTCTGTCAAACACATCACAACTCTGTCATAGAATACATTTAAATAACAAACATGAGGGTGAAAGTGCATTGCCTAAGAGGCCACCCCTGTGGGTTACCTGTTGCACACCACCTTTGGAGTTTCTGTGTCTTTCTTCTCCCTGATGTGGGGAGGCAGGGACTGCACAGCTCATCAGATTCCATGGAGCATCTTTATGTGTTGCAGCAAGTCCTCTGGCTGACTTCCTTCAACACCTGCGGGGCTCACTGTGTGCTGCACACAACAGGTCTTCCATCCATAATCCCAGAGAACACTGGCTCTGCTCACCTCCAGCCAAGGTCCCCCAGGTTATGTAACACTTAGAGCTGAGGGGCACAAGGATGAGAAAATTGGCAGCAACAAAAATCTAACCCAGAGAAAGTCAGGAAAGGTATAGCCAGCAACAGAACAGCCTGCCTGGACTGGAGCCTACTGAGTGGGGACAGAGAATTATGTAAAACACATACAGAAAGACTTCCTGCTACAGCCCCAACACATAAAGAGCTGGAAAGTTGTCACTCCCATCCTAACAGTAAAAAGAAATGAGCAAAGTCGAAATCAACAGCTTTTCTTGGACTGTCAGGAACATGGAACGTCAAGGGCAGCAACAGAGTCACAGCCAAGATCTGTTCCTTGGGACAGAATACACCACAGTCCTGAACTGTAGGGACACTCAGGGCATAGCTAATGAACTACTGCAGGCTGAGAGTGGACTCTGTGATAGTAAAACTCCCTTGGAGGTTGTGATCTTGAGGCAGTGGGTATGCTTTCTTGAAATCCAGAAGCATCAGCAAGTGCTCACAGGAAATATTTCAGAAAGATCCCTCACAGCCATGGCAGGAGATGGGAAAGAGTAACTGTGAAATTGGCCAGAGCCGTCTTCATAACAAAGTCCTTGTCTCTAGGTCTTTATTCCAACTATAAAAAAGATTTTCTCTGATGTCAGGCCTTTTAGCATCCCTGTTTCAACTGTGAGATTATAGATGAGCAAGACATAGTCACTAATGATGAGGGCCTTAAAGAGTTGGAAATTTAGCAGCTGGGATAAAGAAAAGAGGAAGGAGGAATAAATCTATGCAACTGAAGAAACTCTTGAAAAAAAGAAACACATAAGACCCCTAAAAGCTGGATATTTATTGGAAAATTATAGAATGGTACACTACCCTCATCCCTTACCACCATGTCAGACAAACTCCAAAATAGTAGCAGTGGATTATAGCCAAAAGATCAGCAAGACACAGACTCTCCAAGGAGTGTTTAGGGAAGGCAAAGTCAATAGAAGACACAAAAACAGAGAAAGTAAAGGAAGTTAAAGCCTCTGGGCCTCGTAGTTACAGCAGGCATTAAACATAGCTCAAATCCTTGTCAGATTAACATAAATTATCACCCCAAAGCCCTCATTTTGTATGCCTTCTTGTTACCTGATATAACATGTCTATATTTTAACAAAGAAAGAAACATGCAAAAAATAAAGGAGAAAACACAGTCTGAAGAAACAATGTGATCATCAGAACCAGAGTCCAATATGAATAGATAGTAGATTTGTTGGATGAGGAATGTAAGATTTCAGATGTTCTGAGCTCTAATGGAAAACATAGCATGTGAAACAGAGAGGTAATGCAAGCAGAGAGATGGAAACTCAGACTCAAAAGGAAAGTCTATTATCAATAAAAAACACTGCAGCAGAAGTGAAGAATTCTTCCAGTGGGTTCATCTGTAAACTTCCTGTGGTTGAGGAAAGAATCAGTGAGCGTGATGATTGGTTGACAGAAACTTTTAAACTGAAGTGCAAACAAGAAAGCAAAAAAACAGAACAGAACATCAAAAAACTGTAACATAACTGCAAAAGGCATAACATATGCATAATTGGGAGACCAGAGGAGCTGAAGATAGTGGGTCAGAAGAAATACTGAAACAATAATGGCCAAGAACTTCCCAAAGTAATAACAGACATCAAACCACAAATCCAGAAAATTTAGAGGGTACCAACCAAGATGAAGACCCCAAAAAAACAAATACTTAAACATGCCATATTCAACCTGCAAAAAAACCAAAGGCAAAGAAAAAAAGTGGAAGAAGCCAAAGAAGAGAATTGCCTCATTCATAGAAGAACAAAGATAAAAATTAGAGTGAACTTTTCTCCAGAAATCATTACAAGCAAGAAAACAGCTGAAAGAAAAATCCCACTCACCTAAAATTCTGTGTGTCCAGGGAGGTTTCCCTTCAAACGTGTAGGAAAGATAAAGATTTTTTTCAGATAGACAAAAACTGAGGAATTCATTGCTAACAGATCTGCTCTGTAAAAAATGTTCAAAGAATGGATCCAGTAAGAAAAATGATACAGGTCATAAAAGTAGATCTACTTAAAGAAAAGACATGTATCAGGGAAATAACTGATACAGGCAAAATTAAAATCAATTTTTTTTTGCTACAGCTAAAAAATAACTGCTCACCATAGGGTCATCATAGTATCCATGTATTTGATGGATAAGTGAAATAAATGGCACTCACATCAGAAAGAAAGCAACAAAGAAAAGAAAGAAAGAACAGAGGGGAAAAGTAGAAAAAAGTTATAAACATGTTCTTTATTATTAGTCTTATGATTATTAGTCAGCTTTCACATCACTGGGACACAATACACATTCACACCTTAAAGGAGGAGAGATTTATTTGGCTTATAATTTCAGAGGACTCAGTCCATGGTCAGCTGGTTCCAAGGCGGGAACATCATGGTGAAGGGATTGAGAGAAAATACTTAGTTCATGGCAGCCAGAAAGCAGAGCAGAGAAATAGTGCCAGAGAGGAAGGGGCCAGGGACCCCACATAGACCCCAAGATCATAATGACTCATCCTCACACATGCAGAAATGTGCTCCACCAATCCCCGTGGTGGGCCCTAAAGACAATAATGTTGACACAGTCACATTTAATGATGACAGCCCTATTAATTTAACCATCAATAATCACTTTAAACATATAAATCTTCTAAACACATCAATGAAAAAGTAGGCATTGTCAAACTGACTTTTAAAAATACTATCTATTGTCCTTAAGAAATTCAATTTAAATATAAGACTAAAATAAGTTAGAAGTAATGGGATGGAGACAGACATATACTAACACTAATCAAAAGAAAGCTGGAGAAGCTATATTAATTTCAGACAAATTACACTTCAAGCCAAAGAAAATTATCAAGAGGTCATTTCTCCAAGAAGACATAGCAATCTTACACATGTGTGAACTTAATAAGAAGACATCAATTTACATGGGTTAAGAAATTACAAAACTGAATGAAGAAACACCCATACTCATTATTATATTGGGGACTTCATCCCTCAGTCAATAATCAATAGGTCAATCAGGCAAAAAATTAAAAAGACTATCAGTGGCTTAAACAGCACCATCAGTCAACTTGATAAAATTGATCTTAATAGAACAATCCACCCAACAAGCTACAGAATACACATATCTCCCAAAATCACTGAAAGTTACCTGTGAAAACTTGTCCAAATATTTGGAACTTTAACAATACATTTCTAAATAAGCTATAGTTCAAAGAATGAGGCTCATGAGAAATTACAATATATTCTAAACTAAATCAAATTAAGATACAACTTACTAAAATGTGTGAGATTTGATGAAATTACTGTTTATCAGGAAATATATAGCATAGAAAAGAAGAAAGATCTGAAATCATTAATTTCTACCTGAGGACAATGAAGAAAGAGAAATTTAAGCCTAACCCAGGTAAAAGATATACAAATTGGAATAGAAATCAGTGAAACAAAACAGGATGAAAAGGGAGAAAATGAAAAGGCAAAAACTGGATCTTTGAAAACATGAGAAAAATTATCTTCTAGCCTGACTAACCAGGAAAGGTGGGGGAGGGAAAGACTGAAAGGAGGAGAAAAAGAGGGGAATGAATAGAAAAAGACAGGACAGGGCAAG